GGGGGGGAGAAAGAGACCGCCAAGCCGTGGCCGTTGTAATCATTATTATCATTACGAAGGTCACTGCTTGCTGTGGGCCGAAGCCTGAGCGGCCGGTGTGTCAGCCCACAAGCAAGGTGTGTAGTTCTTGGGCTGCGCTGTCTGATTTATGATCGCCTAGCTTCAAACCTGTCCTGTCGGCTACTGTTAGAAACTACATATTATGTCACTGATCTTTCAACTTGCTCGTTAGATTTCGACACAGTGTGCATCTTATCAAAACCTAGTACCCCAGCCTGAACTAAATAAACAAACAAGGACGCAATAGAATTAGGCCTAAGTGATTGCGACAGCGCATGTGGAAAAAAAATGATAAAAGAAATCGAGCGTTTGTATAGTGAAATAGCAGAAATACCCATTGCGAAATGTTCCCTGCTTGGCTTTTAGTACGGATATCACATGATTTATTTGGTTCGGTAAAACAAGAATGAAGAAGCATCGCAATGAAGTTGTGAATTTGAAATGGAAATTACTTCACCTTTAGTTTAGATTGAATTTTAATAAAGCTCCAACCCACAGCTTGAAAAAACGAATGCATTTTAGGAACGCAATCTCGTTGGAACGTCAACAATTTAGGAATTTATCCGGTTCAAAAGCCACAGTTGGGTCAACCAATGAAAACGTTCGCTCGGCGTTTCTTCGTGATACTAAAATAAGCATAATAGAAGCAGCCATCACTGCAAGGCGGATACTGGGGTTCCCAAGTGTTTTTCGTGTTATTTCGTTGAGGCTTTCGCCTACAGCATGGGGTTTGAAGTGTGCGGACCAAACGAGGTTATGGTAGTATCAGGTAAATAGTTTTATATACTGTAGGCATGCCTATATTATATTTAGTAGACCTATTGCAATTTCCAGCCCCAATGAATGACACAAAATGTGGGTCAGGTAAGTGGGCTTGGCTTTTGTTTGCAAGGGCTCAAACCACCCGTGGCAAACTGCTCCATTCATTTTTTTGCTGATGAATTAATGTTCGACTTCTTTGCATTAAAATAAAAGCATGCAATGGACTTGAGATATATTACACACTGCCCTATTCTCTGACTGAGAGCTGAGAGGGCAGCAATGTCTGACAACCGACGAATCCTCCATCATGTTGTATGAGTAGACTCTAGATAGATCTAATGGGTAGACAACTCTGAGACTGAGAGATGGCTGCAAGGCTAATGAGGTTGCCGGTGCCAGAACAGTAACACTAGGCTAGATTCTAGTAGTCTCCTCACGAACAAGATTGCAGACAGGAATGTCAGTACTAGAGAGTGAAAAGCCAACAGGGACTGGAGAAACAATTTAAAGCCACAAGGATTAGAGATCTAGATCGATATAGAATAAGAATCATTAGAATCGAGGAACACTTCCCTACTCAGTTTGGATTCTCTTATTCTTTGAATGAATGAAGGCCCTGCCTCTACGCTAGGCTACGCCTACTGAACTGTTTAATGTTATGAAGAGTAGGCTAGGTCTCAGAATCAATAAATGTAGGCCTACTTTTTTAGGCTAAGTAGGCACTGGGGAGGACTTCCGTCCGTAACGAGCGACCACTATGAAACAAAGTAGAATAGAGAGTTAAGATTATAATTATGGTAAAAGGTTTGGGGTAGGGGTAGGGGTCCGATATGGATGGGGTAAGGGTAGGGGTTGGGCCAGGGTTAGATCTCTTCTTTATTACGTTTGTTGGGGTGGTCGCTCGTTACGGAAGTCCTTCCAGGCACAGTGTCACTTGAGTAGGCTGCAGTAGGCACGATTTGTGAAGCAGGGTAACCTGCCTAATCTAGCCCTGGACTTTTGGATTTGAGTTTAAATAAGATTTGAGGCTAGGGTTAGGCAGTCAGTTAGGATCAGAGGCTAACTCTAACTCTAACTTTAACTCTGTCTTTATCATTACGCAACCATCAAATGTGAATAAAAGGTTTCAAATTGGAAGATTGCCCCGACCCTTCATGAAAAAAGCCATGATGGTTAAATTCTACTTTCACACCTGCACGCAGTTGCACTAGTTTGGGGGGCTAAATGACATAATTATTGCTGTACAACCACACATATGTTATATATTATATGGCCATTGAAACTGTCACAAATCAATTATTTTCAAGAAAGGTCACCTTTATTCTCACCCATGTCTCGCAA